CTTCGAATCAGAAAAGTTAAAGTATTTTTTTAAATTAACCGAATTGAAATGATCATTATAGATCTATGTGTGTGATAGGTCTATGATTTATTTTCTGAATAATCCAAAATCTATATAATAGACATACCACACCTCTCGAATTTATCCTGCTCATTCCGATTCGTCCAACTTCGAATCAGAAAAGTTAAAGTATTTTTTTAAATTAACCGAATTGAAATGATCATTATAGATCTATGTGTGTGATAGGTCTATGATTTATTTTCTGAATAATCCAAAATCTATATAATAGACATACCACACCTCTCGAATTTATCCTGCTCATTCCGATTCGTCCAACTTCGAATCAGAAAAGTTAAAGTATTTTTTTAAATTAACCGAATTGAAATGATCATTATAGATCTATGTGTGTGATAGGTCTATGATTTATTTTCTGAATAATCCAAAATCTATATAATAGACATACCACACCTCTCGAATTTATCCTGCTCATTCCGATTCGTCCAACTTCGAATCAGAAAAGTTAAAGTATTTTTTTAAATTAACCGAATTGAAATGATCATTATAGATCTATGTGTGTGATAGGTCTATGATTTATTTTCTGAATAATCCAAAATCTATATAATAGACATACCACACCTCTCGAATTTATCCTGCTCATTCCGATTCGTCCAACTTCGAATCAGAAAAGTTAAAGTATTTTTTTAAATTAACCGAATTGAAATGATCATTATAGATCTATGTGTGTGATAGGTCTATGATTTATTTTCTGAATAATCCAAAATCTATATAATAGACATACCACACCTCTCGAATTTATCCTGCTCATTCCGATTCGTCCAACTTCGAATCAGAAAAGTTAAAGTATTTTTTTAAATTAACCGAATTGAAATGATCATTATAGATCTATGTGTGTGATAGGTCTATGATTTATTTTCTGAATAATCCAAAATCTATATAATAGACATACCACACCTCTCGAATTTATCCTGCTCATTCCGATTCGTCCAACTTCGAATCAGAAAAGTTAAAGTATTTTTTTAAATTAACCGAATTGAAATGATCATTATAGATCTATGTGTGTGATAGGTCTATGATTTATTTTCTGAATAATCCAAAATCTATATAATAGACATACCACACCTCTCGAATTTATCCTGCTCATTCCGATTCGTCCAACTTCGAATCAGAAAAGTTAAAGTATTTTTTTAAATTAACCGAATTGAAATGATCATTATAGATCTATGTGTGTGATAGGTCTATGATTTATTTTCTGAATAATCCAAAATCTATATAATAGACATACCACACCTCTCGAATTTATCCTGCTCATTCCGATTCGTCCAACTTCGAATCAGAAAAGTTAAAGTATTTTTTTAAATTAACCGAATTGAAATGATCATTATAGATCTATGTGTGTGATAGGTCTATGATTTATTTTCTGAATAATCCAAAATCTATATAATAGACATACCACACCTCTCGAATTTATCCTGCTCATTCCGATTCGTCCAACTTCGAATCAGAAAAGTTAAAGTATTTTTTTAAATTAACCGAATTGAAATGATCATTATAGATCTATGTGTGTGATAGGTCTATGATTTATTTTCTGAATAATCCAAAATCTATATAATAGACATACCACACCTCTCGAATTTATCCTGCTCATTCCGATTCGTCCAACTTCGAATCAGAAAAGTTAAAGTATTTTTTTAAATTAACCGAATTGAAATGATCATTATAGATCTATGTGTGTGATAGGTCTATGATTTATTTTCTGAATAATCCAAAATCTATATAATAGACATACCACACCTCTCGAATTTATCCTGCTCATTCCGATTCGTCCAACTTCGAATCAGAAAAGTTAAAGTATTTTTTTAAATTAACCGAATTGAAATGATCATTATAGATCTATGTGTGTGATAGGTCTATGATTTATTTTCTGAATAATCCAAAATCTATATAATAGACATACCACACCTCTCGAATTTATCCTGCTCATTCCGATTCGTCCAACTTCGAATCAGAAAAGTTAAAGTATTTTTTTAAATTAACCGAATTGAAATGATCATTATAGATCTATGTGTGTGATAGGTCTATGATTTATTTTCTGAATAATCCAAAATCTATATAATAGACATACCACACCTCTCGAATTTATCCTGCTCATTCCGATTCGTCCAACTTCGAATCAGAAAAGTTAAAGTATTTTTTTAAATTAACCGAATTGAAATGATCATTATAGATCTATGTGTGTGATAGGTCTATGATTTATTTTCTGAATAATCCAAAATCTATATAATAGACATACCACACCTCTCGAATTTATCCTGCTCATTCCGATTCGTCCAACTTCGAATCAGAAAAGTTAAAGTATTTTTTTAAATTAACCGAATTGAAATGATCATTATAGATCTATGTGTGTGATAGGTCTATGATTTATTTTCTGAATAATCCAAAATCTATATAATAGACATACCACACCTCTCGAATTTATCCTGCTCATTCCGATTCGTCCAACTTCGAATCAGAAAAGTTAAAGTATTTTTTTAAATTAACCGAATTGAAATGATCATTATAGATCTATGTGTGTGATAGGTCTATGATTTATTTTCTGAATAATCCAAAATCTATATAATAGACATACCACACCTCTCGAATTTATCCTGCTCATTCCGATTCGTCCAACTTCGAATCAGAAAAGTTAAAGTATTTTTTTAAATTAACCGAATTGAAATGATCATTATAGATCTATGTGTGTGATAGGTCTATGATTTATTTTCTGAATAATCCAAAATCTATATAATAGACATACCACACCTCTCGAATTTATCCTGCTCATTCCGATTCGTCCAACTTCGAATCAGAAAAGTTAAAGTATTTTTTTAAATTAACCGAATTGAAATGATCATTATAGATCTATGTGTGTGATAGGTCTATGATTTATTTTCTGAATAATCCAAAATCTATATAATAGACATACCACACCTCTCGAATTTATCCTGCTCATTCCGATTCGTCCAACTTCGAATCAGAAAAGTTAAAGTATTTTTTTAAATTAACCGAATTGAAATGATCATTATAGATCTATGTGTGTGATAGGTCTATGATTTATTTTCTGAATAATCCAAAATCTATATAATAGACATACCACACCTCTCGAATTTATCCTGCTCATTCCGATTCGTCCAACTTCGAATCAGAAAAGTTAAAGTATTTTTTTAAATTAACCGAATTGAAATGATCATTATAGATCTATGTGTGTGATAGGTCTATGATTTATTTTCTGAATAATCCAAAATCTATATAATAGACATACCACACCTCTCGAATTTATCCTGCTCATTCCGATTCGTCCAACTTCGAATCAGAAAAGTTAAAGTATTTTTTTAAATTAACCGAATTGAAATGATCATTATAGATCTATGTGTGTGATAGGTCTATGATTTATTTTCTGAATAATCCAAAATCTATATAATAGACATACCACACCTCTCGAATTTATCCTGCTCATTCCGATTCGTCCAACTTCGAATCAGAAAAGTTAAAGTATTTTTTTAAATTAACCGAATTGAAATGATCATTATAGATCTATGTGTGTGATAGGTCTATGATTTATTTTCTGAATAATCCAAAATCTATATAATAGACATACCACACCTCTCGAATTTATCCTGCTCATTCCGATTCGTCCAACTTCGAATCAGAAAAGTTAAAGTATTTTTTTAAATTAACCGAATTGAAATGATCATTATAGATCTATGTGTGTGATAGGTCTATGATTTATTTTCTGAATAATCCAAAATCTATATAATAGACATACCACACCTCTCGAATTTATCCTGCTCATTCCGATTCGTCCAACTTCGAATCAGAAAAGTTAAAGTATTTTTTTAAATTAACCGAATTGAAATGATCATTATAGATCTATGTGTGTGATAGGTCTATGATTTATTTTCTGAATAATCCAAAATCTATATAATAGACATACCACACCTCTCGAATTTATCCTGCTCATTCCGATTCGTCCAACTTCGAATCAGAAAAGTTAAAGTATTTTTTTAAATTAACCGAATTGAAATGATCATTATAGATCTATGTGTGTGATAGGTCTATGATTTATTTTCTGAATAATCCAAAATCTATATAATAGACATACCACACCTCTCGAATTTATCCTGCTCATTCCGATTCGTCCAACTTCGAATCAGAAAAGTTAAAGTATTTTTTTAAATTAACCGAATTGAAATGATCATTATAGATCTATGTGTGTGATAGGTCTATGATTTATTTTCTGAATAATCCAAAATCTATATAATAGACATACCACACCTCTCGAATTTATCCTGCTCATTCCGATTCGTCCAACTTCGAATCAGAAAAGTTAAAGTATTTTTTTAAATTAACCGAATTGAAATGATCATTATAGATCTATGTGTGTGATAGGTCTATGATTTATTTTCTGAATAATCCAAAATCTATATAATAGACATACCACACCTATCGAATTTCTTCCTTAAGCTGGAAAGTACATTCCCTTTTCCAATAACAATAATAGCTACTATAATTAGATATCCGAAACTTTTGCTTGATTCTATCCAGTGCTTCGTGAATTTGCTCGTACTTACTTCCTACCAGATACGAGTACGGATTTTGGGACTAGTTGCAAAGCACTGTTTCTGTCTCAGTTTTACACTACTTTAATTTTTAATTGAGATTAAAATTGCTTTTCCTCCTCCCTTTTACTACACACATTTATTCCACAGCTCCCCCACAAATAATAATAAATTTAAAATAAAAAATTTTTAAAATTGGAATTTTCCCACTTTTTCAGGGTTGTTTGAGAAACATTTATTTTAATTCCCTTCCTCCACTTACTTTTGTAGACAACAACAATTTAATTTCAATTCCCCATTTTTTACTTGAACAAAAAACAAATTTAAAAAGTTGTAAAGGTTTATGTCAATCTGTAGATTTGTGTAAATTTAATAATTGTTTAAATGGTGGAAAGTGTGAGGATATTTTCAATGAAATTAAATGTAATTGCCCTTTGGGATTTAATGGAAAATATTGTCAAGTTTGGTTAATTGTAAAAATAATTAGTAAATTATTTAAAGATTCAAATAAATGAATGTGAAACGATGAATGGAAATTTGGAATGTTTACCCAATGGACAGTGTGTTGATGATGTAAAATTTTTTTTTCTATAGTTAATCTCATTTATGTGTATCAGAAATCTTGTTGACATAAAAAATAAATTCGGGAATCGGTACTTGGGAAGCTGGAAAACTAGTCTATTATAGGAAAATAAATTAATAGAAGTAACTTATAAATGAGAATATTTAACTATAAATATTTCAATAAGGAGTTTTACAGGAGCAGACCAAGGTACTGCAAACCGAAGGTATCGCAGAGCTATAACTTCGTTCAGAATTTTAGAATTCGAGTGAGTCTGACATAATTCGATTCAGCTCATCGAGGTGCATCGAACCATATCAGAGCGCCCCGATTCGACAATTTTGAACGAAGTTATAGCTCTGCGATACCTTAGGGTTGTGCCCGTTTTTATTACTTTTTGAAATTGATTCCATAAAAATTTAATTAATTTTCCTCGAATTTTCTTCAAATTTTATTCAAAAAATTTAAAATAATTTTTAATTTCTTTAAAGATTAACGGTTTTCATTGTCAATGTTTACCAGGCTTTACAGGCCCAAAATGTAAAGAAATATTAAATTTTAACCAAAATAAATGTCAAAACAATACTTGTAATAATAATGGAGAATGTTTGGAATATTTAAATAATTCTACATTTAAATGTAAATGTAATGCTAAATTTGTTGGAAAATATTGTCAAATTGATAAAAATAAAATTAATTGTGTAGATAATAATCCTTGTGAAAATGGGGGTAAATGCTTTGAAAAAGGACGAGGAGGAGGAAATGTTTGTTTTGTTATTTGATTTTTAATTTATAAAGTAACAAAATATCCCGACTTGGTATCTACCTGACTCGAAAAAATATATCCAATTATTTCCCTTAGTACACTCTCGGAATATCTCCAATATTTTCTGATTAATACAAGAATAATTCACAATTAAAGGAAACTTTTGTTATTATCCTCGTTTCTTTTTGGATCATTATATTGAGAATTAACACCTTTCCTTGCTGGGATTTTCTGTTTAAAATTCACTTAAAACCCTATTACCTATTTTCGTTAACCTTAATTGCAGTGTTTGGAATTTTGAAATTTGTTCGTACTTCGTATGGGGGTACAAGTACAAATTTTGGTACAAGCTTCCAAACACAGCTTAATAGTCTCAATTATTTCTGTTATTGGATTGTCGGTTTAAGCAAAATTTTATAAAAAAATTAATTTATTTTTAAATTATTTTTAGGGGCAAATTAATTGTTTATGTCCCCCAAACTATTCCGGACAATTTTGTGAAGATTATACCGATCCTTGTAGCGAAATGCCCTGTCTAAATGGTGGAAAATGTATTAACATTCCTTCATCATCTCAACCTAATTTTCGTTGTGAATGCCCGAAAGAATTTTCTGGGAAATTTTGTGAAGATTTTAAAGATTATTGTGGGAATAGTAAGGAGGGATTTGATGGTAATATTAATGCTTCTTCTCTTTGTTTTGGACATGGAATGTGTGAGAATATTTGGGGAGGATATAGGTAGTTACTTTTTTGTTTGATTTACTCCTTTTACTCGGCTAGGGCAATCAAAAATCCGTTTCCAACATTTTGTTCCCTGATTTAAGACACCTTTGGAGTTTTCGATGGCTACTCTCTTTTCAAGAGTAAATACATTTTACGAATTTTAATCCCCAGTTTTGCTATTGTGGACAAGCCTTTTGTGGACAAGCCTTGTCCAAGGCTTGCCTTTGTGGACAAGCCTTGGACAAGCCTTACCCTCTTTTTCTATAACACAGAATTTTACTCAACTTGACTTTTATCCACAAAATTAATATTCGAAGATACTATGATTCGAAAATAATTAAATATTTAAAGATGTATTTGTAATGAAGGATGGCGTGGTCCTAACTGTTCATCGCAAGTTGATGTTTGTACAGAAGAATTACCCTGTTTAAATGAAGGAAGGTGTATTCTGTTAGATAATGAGGGAAAAGATAATTCGACTCAATCAACATTTAGCTGTGAATGTCCAAACTATTTTGAAGGCGAACGCTGTGAATTAGCTGGAACTTGTTCGAAAAGTAAAATAATAAATTAAGATTTTAATAAACTCAAACTTTTAAGATCCCTGCCTTAACAACGGTCAATGTATACAAAAAAACATATCAGCACACAAATGCGAATGTCCAACAGGATTTTGGGGGTTATCCTGTGAAAAACGTTTAGACTTTTGTTTGGGAGAGCCTTGCATGAATGGAGGGACTTGTATTTCCAAAACTAATGGTTTTGAATGTTCTTGTATTGCTGGATTTGTTGGAGAGAAGTGTGAGATTGATGTAGATGAATGCGAGGAAGCTTTGAAAGCTTTAAATAAAAATGGGACAAACGTTGATATTACTAAGATATGTGGAGTAGGAAGATGTGTGGATAGAGTAAATGGATTCGAATGCGATTGCAGTGGAACTGGATATTCGGTATGAACTGGTAATTAAAAATTGTTGATTACAATCAGCTTTTTTATATCCCTCTAAAACCTAAAATTAGATTTAAATAGAATTACTATTCAGCTAGCATGTTTCAGATTTTTCACGATCTCCTGAGTACTTCCAAGCCCGATCATTCATAGTTGCATTCGGCAATTTCAATCCGATATGATCCTAAACCTGTTTCAGTATAAGGAAAGTTCCTTATGGACATAGATATCAACCTAGGTATACAGATATTTGTAACGTTTTCCTGTTTAGATTAATTAGTTCACATAAATCTAAAAATTGGGTATTTTTTTAAAATTAAAGGGTTCTTATTGTGAATTTGATATCGATGAATGTGAAACTACTTCTTCCTCTTCAATCTGCCAAAACAATGGAACATGCCACAATTGGCCAGGAACTTTTAAATGTGAATGTAAATTAGGTTCTTACTTCGATAAAAGATTTATTTAATAAAACATTTTTTATCAGGCTTCATCGGCATTCATTGCCAACTCCCCAATCTTTGCCATCCCGACCCCAATTTAAACCAAACACTTCATAATTGTGTTCATGGTCGTTGTGTCCGTCCTCGTGTAGTGTTGGGTGTTGATGGGCATGAAGTAACGATAAAAAATATTTTTAAATTCCAAATATAATTTAAAGTATGCAACTCATGATTGTGAATGTATGGCTGGTTATACTGGAGATTTATGCATGCGCCTAGTATGTTTAACTAAGTTATAGGGGAGTCTGTATAACGTCACACCTCTGGCCGAATTTAACTGATTTAAGAAAGCAAGTGGGAAGAGTGACGTTATTGAGAGCTTCCATTGTACGCTAATTTGGCACCAGAGGTCGATCGGAAATGACTAAGGTGCCGGAAATCGTAACTGTCGGAAATCGGGAATGGCTCAAAAGTTGAAACTCGGAAATCGGAAGAAAAAAAACGTCGTAAGTCAGAAATTGGAATTGCGATCGACCTCTGTTTGGCACTACAGAAAAGGGGGCATAGCGTAATTTTCTGTGCTATTTTTAAATTATATTAAGATAAATTTAAATTTGTCCACAAAAATGTTAACATAAATAACGTTTGCTTTCCTCAATATTGCCATGAAGTAAATAAAATTATAAATTTTCCCCCAAATTTTTACAGATAGAATCACAACAACAGTCAATATCCTTATACAGCTTTATAGCATTAGGAGTTGTTGTAATTGTGTTGTGTATAGCTTTGGGTTTATTATTAAATTTTTTTATTGTTTGTACAAAAAGAAAACGAGCAAATCAGGGAACTTATAGGTACTTCTAAATATTTTTAAAAATTATTTTAAAAAAATAATTTAAAAGTCCCTCAACACAAGAAATGACTGGAAATGCTAGATTTTTTATTACAGCAAATTATCAGCAAAAATTAAATAAAAATAAACAAAAAATACAATCACCTAAAAGAAAAATTTAGAAAAAGAGGAGAGAATTATTTAAATATTTTTGATAATTAAAATTAATTTTTAAAAATATACGGGTAATTTTTTAACTAAATACATAATAAATATATAATAAAATAATTTATTTAAAAATTTGTTTGTTATATTGTTTACTTAGCTGGACTTTTAGAAAAAAATTTTTTCACTTTTTGAAGCAATGAAAGACTAAATACACAGACAACTCTGACTAATCGGGAACTCTAGTAATTCGCAAATAATTTTCAAAATCAAAACAAATCTTCAAATATGTATAATAGCATGATATTTTACGAAAAATATTAATTAATATATTAATAAATTAAATTACTTTTTTTAAAAATTAATTAATTAATTAATAACTTTTTTAAACTTTTTGGTTGATAAAATCAAATTGAATATATTAGCTATTTAGAATGTTCAAAAAGGTTCTTAGTTTTGCAGTAAAGTCTTCGAAAACTTCAATTTCGAACATAGCTAACATCTAAATTAGTATATGCAATCAAGGTTGAACGTTTTGTTCTTCCCTTTTTTCTATTAAAATTTTAGTCCCACAAATTGGGCATTTACTTACCTGGAAAATAAATTTATTTAAAAAATATTTTAAATATTAAAATAAATTATTTTTAATTAAAAAAATTAAATTTTAAATTACAATAGGTCCACCCCAAGGCCATTTCTTTGTCTCAGCGTTTAAATTTTTTTCGTTACACCTATTTAAGATTAAATTAATTTTTTAAAATTTAATTAATTAATTACGATTCTTTAATGCATTCTTTGTGAAATATATGCTGAAAAATATTTATATTTAAACTAAAAATTATTTAAAAAACATTGCAATCAGTTATTCGTTGAAGTGCTTTATATTCCTTTTTGTTAATTAAATTGTGATGACAAATTGAACATTTATTATCTTTCATCAGAAATTTATCAATAATTTTAAAATCTTTTACATTTGAAACTAAATATGTATTTTTGTTTGTTAATTAATGAATATTTTCCTTGTTTAGGGTTGTCGATTTAACAAGGAAATCGACAACCTATCCTTGTTAACAGTGCTTGAAAATTTCTGATCTGCTCGTACCACCCCTATTTTTAGCTTCGTACTTCGTAACAGGTACGAAATTTTGGTACGAGCGTCCAAGCAACGCTCATGTAAAAAGTTGCCCATTAAAAAGGAAAAGCAGCAATTAGACTGTCTAATTCTTGCCAAGTAATTTGTATTATTAAAATCTATCCAAACCTTTATATGGAAATTCAGTCAATGTACATAGAATTTATGTAAATTATTTAAATGTTAGCAGTTTGAGGGGCATACTAAATACCTTTCTCCTATAATAATTGCCCTCCATTTTTTTAAAATTTGTTTCATAACAAGAAAATAATGAAAATTTTTTTTAAATAAATAAAATTAAGAAAATTAAAATAAAATTTTAAATGTAAATAATTTTTTTAAATAATTTTTCTGTTAAAAACAACCCTTAAAATAAAATTACCGTATTTCCTCAAATAGTACGGCCGGCCGTACTATTTTTCAACCCTCTTCTAAAGGGCCGTACTATTTGAGGGGGCCGTACTAATTGAGGGGGCCGTACTATATTTCAACCCTCCTTCGGAATTTTCTGAATAATTTTTTTGGTTATGCCACCTTGAACTAAGTCTGTGTGTATTGAAATTTTGGCCGTATCTGAAAATAATGCTGCAATCATATTTTTTCCTTATTCTTAAAAATGGTTAATTTCCTCATATTATTCTCTCTATTTCTGATTTGTGCCTTAAGACTATAAGCGCAATAGATTATTTTTCTTCAATTTTTTGAGCATTTACTTTTTTTCTGTCCGATGTGTGTGCGTGTTTTGTCTGTCCGAGTTCGTCCGTTTGTCCGAGTTCGTCCGTGTTTTGTCAAAACTGTCCGAGTTTGTCCGTGTTTTGTCTGTCCATGTTTTACAGCACAAAAATGTAATATTTTTTTATTTTTTGCTTTTAATCTTTTCTCTATAATTACATTTGAACATGCCACAGGGAAATTCATTGGAAGTGAACGAGTGAAAAAGTCTGACCTTTCTGTACAAAATAAGGAAAAATATGGAAAGGAAAAAATGAAGGAAAAAATATGATTGCAGCATTATTTTCAGATACGGCCGAAATTTTTTTGTTTTTTATTACACACACTAGCGTGTGTCTAGAAACTTAGACTTAATCATATGCCTAGATCCAAACTGAAATTACCAAAGACCTTAAAATTTAAGGCTGCATTTAAAATGGCCTACATATCGAGTTTTGTTGTGTGTTTTGTCGAGCGTCAAGTGTTAGGTTTGTGCAACCGTGAATAATTAATTTAAAAGTTGAGAGATTAAGAAGAATTAGAGTGATTAAAGGGGTGATAAGAAGTCGGGAGACTGAACGAGATATCGATAAATTATCTGACTATTCGTTATTCACCTTGTTCCCAACTAATCCTTTTAAATTCATCCATACTCAAATCACGCCAATTCCATCGATATCCTTCCTAATCCAATAAAATCCCCATTAATCCACCGATATCCTCTTAAGCCCTCCAATTTCTATGCCAATAGATATTAAGATTTAATAAATTAGTTAAATATTGCGATGAATAATTACTATGATTAAAAATTCAAATTTTGCCTATTTTTATATTTTTTAGGTGGGGGCCGTACTATTTGAGGGGCCGTACTAATTGAGGGGGCCGTACTATTTTTCAACCCTCACCTAAAGGGCCGTACTAATAGAGGGGGCCGTACTAATTGAGGGGGCCGTACTATTTGAGGAAATACGGTAATTAACTACCTTTCATATTCGAATATTTTTACACATTCAGAAAAATTAATATTTCTAATCATAAAGTCAATAAAAAAATCTTTTGTTGTCAATTTTACATGTAAATAATAATTTTTTTCTTCAAAATTAATTTTAAATTTATTTAAAATTGCATGGGACCAGTTTTTTATTTCTCTTGGTGGATAATATATTAATAATATTTCATCACCTCTATTTACCCGTTCGAGAGTTTTGTAAATTAAATTACTCATACATTTGTTTTGATCAACTAAAAATTATTTAAGAGATTTTATTTTAAGACTCTCCAACTCTAAAATTTTTTTAATAATTTAAATTTATTGAAAATTATTTTAAAAAATTTTTAATTTTAAAACAAGAAACTAAAGAAAAATTTCTTTACTTAAAAAAAATTTTTTTTAAACTAAAAAAAATTTTTCCCTAAATTAGGAAGTCAAGTCCCAAATTAAAACAATTAATTATTTCACACAAAATAAAAATTTTTAAAATTGAGGAAGTGAGATTTCATAAAATTTCATTAGAGATGCCCGCATTCGAGGATAACTGTTTGCTATCCTAAAAATATAAACCGATTTTTAAAATATGAAAAAATTAGTTAGAAAAGGAACAAGAAAACGTTACTAATATTAAAAATATAGTTGACTTTTGTGATAGTTCCACAAGGATATAGCCCCTAGTAGTGGGGAGCTTTCCCATTTAGACCACAAATATATTCCCAACTTTGGTTAAAGGTCCTCAAAGGTTGGACTAGGTATTTATAACGTAAGTCAACTTTAAATTTTTTTAAACCTACTTAATTTGCTTTGAATATTTTCAGATAAATCCAAATAATCTTTCTTAATTTTATCAAAAAGTAGTTGCAAATTAAATTCATTTTTGAATAAAAATAAATTTTTAATTTTATTAATTAATTTATTATTGTAATTAAAAACCAAATCTTTATTTAATTCAAAACAATTATTTGCATAATTATCCCCTATAAATTTAGCCATATCTTCTTTATTTATTATAAAATTATTAACAAAATCTTTTTGAATTACTCGTTTAACCTCCCATTCTTGCTCGATTTTTTCAGCAAAATAAATTGTTTCTAATTTTTTGTTTAGCAAAATAAAATCAGAAATACAGGTAATAAATTCTGGTGGGGGCGAAATTAATTCGGATTTGTGGCAAAATAAAATTGTTAAAAGAAAAAAGAAAATTATTTGGTAGAACATTGATAAATGGGTATATGTATTTCTAAAAATTAATTTTAAAAGTGGGCATCATAAAAGAAATGAGGAATTTTTTTATAAATTTTTTGTAGAATTATTTAAGGCTATATACAATATATGAAAAAAATTTTAAGCCACAAAAGCCACAAAATTTTTTACAAAAAAAATTGTCAGCCAAAAATTCATGAAGGATTAGTAGTATATACACGAGTTTTAAAACATTTTTTACAAGAATATTTTAAAACCAGTGTACAAATAAATATTTCTGAGGTTAGTTAACAACATTTTGTTTCCAAGTCAAGTCCTTAACATTTCACTCAAGTAATTATTTATACATCGGTTTTAAAATATTTTTGTAAAAAATGTTTTAAAACTCGTGTATATACTACTAGGATTCCAATTTCACAAAATTTTTCTGATAGCCCGGCTTGGCTTCAAAACATTTTTGAGGAACTTCTTTTTACAGAAGTAAAGTTTTGGTTTTAATCTTTAATTAAATACATATGAGCATTTAAGAATTAAAAAATTTAAATAAATAATGGAAATTTTAATTTGTTTATTAAATAAAAGCAAAAATTATTTTATTTAAAAATTAATATTAAAAAATATGTCTATACAAATTATTTAAAAATAAACAAATAGATTTAGAAAAGCAATTTTATTTTAACTCGCCGCTAATAATAATTATGAAATATATTTTTAAAGAAGTGCAGACTTTTTATTTTTAATTAAATAATAACTTTTGAAATAATAAAAATTTAAATAAAATATGCACTTATATTATTTAAATTTTAACAAAATGCTTTGAGGTTATGCCTAATTTATATCTACATATTATTAGTAGAATCTTCCAACATTGTTAAAATTTTGAGGGATGTAGATGCCCTTATGCTAAATATACAAGTTTAGATAAAATATGTTTTTTGAGTAGAGAAAGGCGAGGTTTGCAAAACCCGATGTTGAGGTTAACCATATTTAATCGAGGTAGATGAGCAAATGTTCACTCAAGGTATGAGGTATCAGCATCAGGGAATTTTGATGGATTTCGAGGATTAATATGGATATCATGAGTTTTTTTTCTTAGTCTCTCTAAATAAAAAGATCTAGAGAGACTTTGAGGATCTGCATGTATTAAGGAAGATAGATTATTCAATATCTCGCATATATCTTATTAATCACAACAATCTCAACTATTCCTCTTAATATGTATATTCCTCAAGAAATAAATAAGATTGTTCGACTACATACGGTCACTCAATTAGAGAGCTATGGTACATATTTGGGACAAAACTTAACTCTGTTTTTAATTCGTAATCTCTGCAATTTGGCATAAGAATTTTACTTTATTTCTTAAATAAAAGATAAAAATCTAATGAAATCTATTCCGCTTTTTCCCTTTTCTATCCATACAAATACAATGATATCCAAAAAATTGAAGGCTCGTCCATATTGCTATTATAATTTCTCATATTGTTATAATTGTCTGCCGGGGAATTTTTATATCGTTCTAAAGTCCTTATCAATAACTTGGAAAATTTTCCTCATTAAATATATGAATTAATTAATTATTAATTGAATATACATACAGGGTGACAAAAAAGTAATTGGACACTTTATTTTTGCCATAACTTTATTTAAATTAAAGATAATGAGATCAAATAAAGATAAAATTATAGAGAATTAAATGGAGAATAAGATATAAAAATCTTTTAGAATTATTCCTATTCTATTTTGAGATAAGGTTAAAGGAAAGTGAGAAAAATTATTGCTCCAGGTCGCACCTTTTTTTGAGGCATTTTGCCTATAACGTTAGAACAGATTGGAGGAATTACACAAAATTTTTTTGGCATGTAGAGCAGTCTTTCATCTATAGAAATTATAAAGCAAAAAATTTTTTAGATTAACGCCTAAAGAGATATTCGATTGCGCGTAACCCTCCCAAAATGAGAGAATCGCATTCCCCCCAAAACTGATTTACATCTATTCAGAGCCATCCATGTAGGAGTTTGGATTTTCATCTTTCAGATTTGTCCGGTTCGCTAATGGTCTTAATTAAATTCTGTTGAGATCATCCCGTTTGGACTTCTCCTTTCTGAGATACAGAAATCAATATTTTGGGGGGAAAATTTTGATATGGTGTACCTAAAATTACATAACTTTCTTAATCCTTAATCAAAAAATCTTTAATTCTACAATATGATAGAGAAATAAATGAGCTACAAAATAAACTTGGAATTATCTAAAAATATTACGAACAAAAAAAGTTATAAAGGATAGAAAAGTGTCCAATTACTTTTTTGTCACCCTGTAATTAAAGATAAAATATCATTAATAATACTAAATTTTATTATTTTATCAAGCCAACCAAATTTTAATCAAATAAAGAATAATTTATAAATTAAAAAATGGAAAAAAATTTATATACGAAATTTTTAAGATTTAATTATTCAGAGAAACAAAAGGGAATAAATAATGATATTTATGTAATGTGCAGATTCTTATTGAAATAAATTTTATCTGCAAAAAATTCTCAAAATTTTTGCCTGAATTTTTCACATGAATTCTGGCTAATTATTCTATACAGTATCGTTATTTGCGAGGCTCTCTCTAAAATCCTCACTACTTTAAAAAAAATTTGAAATTTTAGGATCGGTTCAATAACGTGCATTTGACAGGATCCCACTGAACAAAAACCCACCCAAATATACCCCTCTCTTAAAATATCCCATTGTACAAAACCCTCTAAATGATCCACTGAGCAAAACCTAAAATGCCCCATACGCCCATCTAAAATGTCCAACAGAGTAAAAACACCCAAATCATCGAACTATAAACACAATATGCAATTTTAAAAATGTGATTAATTATTTAATTGAATTCTAATTTTTTTCTAGTTAAAAACCAAAATTTATTTCAATATTTCTCTAATTTTTGGCATTTTTTGTCAACATTTTTCCATTTATTTCAATAATTTATGGCCATATTTCGCGATTTTATTTCAATAAAAATTCACACACTAATATAATATCTAAATCTACTTTTTTAAAAATAGACAATTCATTTACTTATTCATTCATTGTTTTTTTCAAGTTAATTTTTCATTAGTAATTTAAATAAACTTTTTTTTAAATTATTAATCCATTACAAACTATAATTATTTTTTAATTAACATCTCAATTTGCTTGATAACCAGTTACAGTACCAAAAGGATTAATATGTGAAAAATAGTCAATTTTAATCTCATAATCTCCGGGTTGATTTATTTTTCCTACCAAGTTTTTAGAAACATTTGCCTGAAATAAAAGTTTGTTAAAAATATTTTTTATAATAAATTTATTTATTAAATGATATAAATTGCTTCTTTTTATTAATTATTCATTATTAATGAATTTAAAAAATTTAAACAAAATATAGAGTCAATGTTAATACATATTATTAATTTTCACATCCGTACACAGTCGAATTTCAATTATATACCTCACTTACTTTCATTATTTACATTAACGCCAGATTTCTCCTTCGCAAAATGTGGCGTATAAGCAATATTTGACTATTTAAATTAGGGTAGCTCCTCGAGCTTTCGGGGTCGGGGTTCGGGATCTGCCGGGAAGGGCGTGTCGGTGTTTGGGGTCAGGGTTTTTGCCAAAAAGATCGCCGGGGGACGGGGAGCTACCCTAATTTAAATTGATAAGAGAAAAGTAAACCCATTTGTTGAAATTATTTCGCTTTGCATTCTCTCCATTAGCAAAACAATAATGTTGTCCATTTTCATTAGGAACATAATGAGTTACGGCGAATTTAAAATTTTCTGTTTTAATGCAATAATCAGGTATTTCAATTTCGATTGATTCATTATGTTTAAGAATAAAAATATTTCTTAAATGCTGGTCTCCAATAGTAAGAATTTCTTTTTGTCTATTATTGCCAGTATTTTTACAAGTTATATGTACGCATAAATAACCATTTTGAGGAATAAATGGATTTGGAAAGTTTGGAGGTGGAATACTCACTCCAGTTGAAAATTTCTGCTCGTTTGGAATAAACATTGGATTTGGAACCGGAAAAATGGAGTGAATTTGAATATAAAATGGATGATTATATTGTGGATTTAATATATACATAACATTTGTAAATGTCACATTTACAGTCAATTCCAATTTATTATCAGCGTTAACCACAAATTGAAGAATACAAAAATTCATAAATAAGAGGAAAAAGAAATTTTTAATAAAAATTGTTTTGAACATTTTTTGTCCTAAATTAATTATTAAAAATAAATAAATTAATATTATTAAAAAATTTATCATTAAAGGTTAAATATTTTAATTTATCTAAAATATATGAAAACCTTAAAAAATAAAAGAAAAACCTTCTCTTAAAGAGATAGAGAATTTTTTGACATCTCGATTCTCGAAATCTCGATACCCTGCCTCATATCACCTCTTATTTTAGGCCTCGTACTAATACTTTGTACTTATGAAACTACTTCCTAAAGAATTTTGGAAGGCCAAAAAGCGAGATTTTGTCTAATTGTAATTTTGTTTTGTATAATTTTATATTTATAATTTTGTCTAATTGTCTTTTGCATCTCAAATAAAAATATATGGAAATAAAAACATAAACGTCGCATTCTCATAAGAATAGAGACAAATAAATAAAACAACTTGAAGTCTAACTAGAGCAACTTAAACATGACTTTCAATCATTTACCACCAAAAGATCGTTATTTTTAAAGATAATTAAAATTTTAAATTAAATTTATAAATATTAAATTTATAACTACATATTAAAATATTTAAAAATTGTTTTTAAAGTCTGTGGGGGAAAATGAATAAAAGGGTAATAAATATGTAACATATAAATACTTAGACAAGCAAGCTAATTTGCTATTCACATATGTATGCACTTTAAGACAAAAATAAATTTATTTTTCGGCAAATGTCAAAGCTAATTTGACTTTTAAACAGACAAAAAATATTTCATAATCCAAAGTGCATCGAGAAACGAGAATTGCGAAAAAAAAACCCGAGACTGGGAAAGACATTAATAAATAGACTGAAGTAACTTTGGGAGCTGGGATAGAGGCTGAGAAAATTGTGACACGGAAAATTGAAATCTCCAACACAAACAAAAATTTTTAAATTTTCTTAGAAAAGCAAATCACTGTAAAGTATATAGCTATTTAATTCGTAAGGCTATACAGTAGCCGGCGTGGTGTAATGGATAACACATCAGTCCGGTCTACTGAAGATGCTGGTTCGCTCCCAGCGCCGATTAACCTTTTGCAGTAGCTGAAGGAGAAATATCTATAGCCCAGCTGCTTTAATATCTATAGCCCAGTTTTTTTAACTAAAAAACTCGTAACTGTTTTTCCATTGTTACTCAAAATGTTTTTTGTGTAAAAATAATTTTTTAATTCTTACAACTTATTTAACTCCAAAATTCGGCTCTATCTTAGGACATGCGTCCTACAGAAAACACCAGTCGTCTCTTTAACATTATTGTTAGGATAATAGACTTAATGTTTAAGAGTAATATTTTTACTCATTTAAAAATTTGGAATAAAAAACAATTAAATTTAGTATTTTATTTTTATTTGACCTTCAAAATAAATTACTCATGCGAAAAAAATTTGACAATTATAGAGCTCATTTTATTTGAAGAGAGAATGGAAATTGATAAAATATCATTTTCAAAAATTAAAAAGAAAGTTAACATTTATCGTTGCTCACATTTCTAATTGATTTTATCTAATTTTTAGTCTAGAAAATTTGAGAAATCAAAACTTAAAATTGCATGTTTTTTATTATTCATGTTTAGGACAAAATCACAAAAATTGGTGAAACGTTTCTCGTGTATTTCTGAAAAAAATAAAATATTTTTATCATTATTATCGAATGTTTTTTAGTCCCAAACAGGGTTGCCGTTTTCGAGTCGGGCCGACGGTCGAGGTTTTTATCAAGTCGGGCCGTACGAGTCTTTTTCGGGCCAAATATCTTAGGCCCGGCTCGATCTTTCGGCCCGAGTCGGTTCATTTTGGCAACCCTAGTACTAAATCTAAAAAAACCAAAATTCTTCTAATAAAAAGTCTAGGACCTCAACTTTTTCTATTTTTATATTTTTTTTCTAGAAAAGAATATTAGCTAGTCTTCTTCTAAACGGATTACTAAAATATGTACTAGCTTTTCTGTTTACTCTGCCACAAATAAAAATAAACACAACATACCCCCCACTTTAAAAAATCGATAGAATAAGCTTGCTTAATCCGCTGCGGCTCTTTTTCTTTTAGCCGAAAGAGAAGAATTTATTCACTATTTGCAGTTAAAGTCTGTCAACAGAAAATAAAAAATTGTTGGTAAAGCTAATTACTAATATTTTTTGTTGAGTCATTCTCGAATTGAATTTAAAGAAAAGCTTAAAATCTGACCTTTTCATTTCTTTTCATTCTTGAAATTCCTTCTTACATAAATTCCTCCATTCGATTAAATAAACAAATCAACGCTGCACTTGTACACTAAATAGACATTTTTTAAAATTTTTCGTCTTTTGGGTGTTTTGATTTTAGACATTTTGAAGTTTTTTGTGAAATTTTGCTTCAAAAGAACGAATTTTTTTCAAGAAATCATTTTTATTTTTCCGAAATCTTCATTTTTTCAATTTTATTTTTATGTGGATTAGGGTTGACATACCGGTTATTAACCGGTACCTCCTGTTTATGTTCCGGTTAATATCCCCAAAACACCGGTTAACGGTTTCGGTTCGATTAACCGTTTGTGTCCAACCCCAGGCCCTAGACAGGATTTTTTCCTGGCTACGGGCCTGTCCAACCCTAATATTCAATTTAATCAAAAATTCTATCATTTTTAGATAAATTGGCAAACTTCATTAAACAATTATAATTGAATAAAGCATGGCTGATGATCAGGTTCTTACATATTTTCACCCAATAATTAGGGTTGCCGCTTTCGACCCGGGCCGACGTTCGAGTCATTTTTTCTGGTCAAAAACCGCTGCTCGGTTCGATCTATCGAACCGAGCCGGCAACACTACTAATAATCTGCTTTTATTAAAAAAGATATTTTTCGGTTGCCCCTACCCTCTTTGCGGACTCATTTATGTAAAGAATACTCAGTCGTTCTTTCTCATTATAACTATTTACCTGTGTCAGCATTCAATAGTCCATTTTTACATAAATTAGTCCGCAAAAAAGGGGTATGGATAAACGAAAAATACCTTAAAAATTTTCAGCGGCCGCCGGGTCGTCAAGCGGATGAAGCAATAGTTCCTCTTACGGGCGAACGAGGAAATAACGACAAAAAGAAAGGCGGATGGAAGGATAAAAAGAATACAATCAAAAAATCGTTCAAAGTCAAATCAAACGATGAGAAGAAAACCGAAGATTTGGCTGAGCTTAAGAAGGAAATGAAAATGGTTATTTTTAAGATTTTATTAAGAGTAGAATTAGGCTCCTAGTGTTATTATGGATTTTATCTTTATTCTTTGACTAGCTAATTCAGGTCTGTAGCTAGGGGTGGAGAGAATTACCCCCTCCCCCCCCCGAAATGGGGAAAAGGAAAAAATTTGGGGAAGGGATTGGGAAAAAAGTGAATTTTTTTGCCTAATTTTTTTGGCCTACGGTCTTCTAAAATTCTCAAAATTTTCGTCTGTGGCGCCAAAAAATTTGCGCAGAAAAATTTCCTCCTTTTGCCCCCCCCCTGAAAATAAATCCTGGCTACGGACCTGACTCATTCATAATTAACTCTTCTCCTTTTTATTAATTTATATTTTAAGGATGAACATCGTATTCCTTTGGAAGAATTATGTGCTGCTTATGAAACTGATATTGAAAGGGTTTTATTTCTTATTTTAAAATACATATCTCAAATTATTTCTAAGGGTTTAACAAGTGCTCAGGCAGAGAAGGTCTTGGCTCGTGATGGGTTAAATGCACTTTCTCCACCACGTACAACACCTGAATGGGTGAAATTCTGCAAGAATTTGTTTGGAGGTTTTGCTCTTCTGTTGTGGGTTGGCGCTCTTCTTTGCTATGTTGCCCACACTGTTGATGCTATGACTCTTGAACATCCATCGAAAGACAATGTAAAAAGTTATTTTTATTTGAATATTTTTTTTATTTTTAGCTTTATTTGGGAATTGTGTTGATGACTGTGGTTATTATTACTGGATGTTTTCAATACTTTCAAGAGCGGAAAAGTTCGCAGATTATGGAATCGTTCAAAAATCTTGTGCCAACTTTTGCTTTGATAATTCGTGATGGAGAGAAACGACAGGTGTCTTAACTTATCGGGCTTTTTTGGGTTTTTTTTTGATAATTTTTAAGTCCAGTTTTTCGATTCGGGGTTGATTTTCGGTTCAAGTCCTTCGGGCTGTATTTATAAAAAGGACTGGCGTGTGATTGTCGGTTTGGGTCGTCAACATTAAAAACATTTTGCCTATAGGTCCTGATATATGTTGATATTTGTTCGATATTTTTGTTTTACCCATCCTATTTTCTAATAGTTCTTTGGAGTTTAATGTTGTTTCATTGGTCTATTTTTATCCTTAAATATTTTTAATTGTTTATATATTGTTTTAATAAAATTTAGATTCCAAGCGCTAATTTGGTTGTAGGCGATATTGTTGAAGTCAAAGGCGGTGATCGCATACCTGCTGATATTCGAATTATTAGAGCTCATGGTTTTAAGGTTTGAATTGTTTGGAATTTTTAAACATATTTTTTAAGGTTGATAATTCTTCTTTGACTGGAGAGTCCGAGCCACAAACTCGTACAAACGAACAATCTGAGGATGAACCGCTGGAAGCTCGTAATTTGGCTTTCTTTTCGACTAATGCCGTTGAAGGAACTGCTACCGGGGTTGTTGTGAACACTGGAGATAGAACGGTTATTTTATTTTTTTGTGTTCTTTTTTAACTTGAATTAATAAAAAAATTTTAGGTCATGGGACGTATTGCTCATTTGGCATCCGATTTAGATTCTGGAAAGACGCCAATTGCTCGAGAAATTGAACATTTTATTCATATTATTACAGCGTATGCTTATTTTTGTTTTTTATATACTTTTTTAAAATTTTTCAGTGTCGCTGTCTTCTTGGGCGTTACATTCTTCATTATAGCTTTCATTCTTGGTTATCATTGGCTTACTGCCGTCGTCTTCCTTATCGGAATAATTGTTGCTAATGTTCCCGAAGGTTTCCAGAACATTTTTGTTTTTTATTAATTTTTTAAGGCTTGATTGCAACCGTCACTGTTTGCTTGACTTTGACTGCTAAACGTATGGCACAACGCAATTGTCTTGTTAAGAATTTGGAGGCAGTAGAGACACTTGGATCTACTTCAACCATTTGCTCTGACAAAACTGGTACATTGACACAAAACAGGCAAGTTTTGAATTTTATGAGTTTGTGTGGTTAATTCGATTATTGTTAGGTTTAGCTAGTAGTGATGATTCTGAAACACAACTTTTTTGCCTCTATAGTTAATTTAATTTTCATAGAATGACTGTCGCTCACATTTGGCAAAATTTAAATATTGAAACCGTCAACACCTCGGAAGATGCCGCTGCTGATGATAATGTGGATAAACAGAAAAATGCATCAGAATTACTTCGGGTTGCTGCTCTTTGCAACAGAGCTGAATTTAAACCTGGACAGGTTTAAAATTTTTATTCGAATTTTATAAGTAGGAATGTTTAAAAAATATTTTTTAAGGATGACGTTCCAATTCTGAAACGTGATTGCACGGGTGATGCTTCAGAAATTGCTTTACTAAAATTTGCTGAACGCTCTTTATATGGTGGTGTCATTCAGTATCGTGCTGGTCATCCTAAAATTGCTGAAATTCCATTCAATTCAACAAACAAATATCAAGTCTTTTTTATTTTTAAGCTCATTTTAGTTCAAATTTTTAAACAGGTTTCTATTCATGCGTACGAAAATGATTCCAATTTGTTGGTTATGAAAGGAGCGCCTGAAAGAGTTTTGGCTCGTTGCGATAAAATTCTAATCGATGGACAAATCCGTCAACTCGATGATAAATTAAAAGAAACATTTGAAATTGCTTATATGGAATTGGGAGGGATGGGCGAAAGAGTTCTTGGTTTTTGTGATTCTGTTCTAGATAAAGAGAAATATCCAAAGGTTGGGGAAACTATAAATCAATAATGATTTTTATGTTTTTTTAGGACTTTAAATTTGATACTGATAATCCAAACTTTCCCATTGATGGTCTCTGCTTCCTAGGGCTTATTTCAATGATTGATCCTCCTCGAGCGGCTGTACCCGATGCTGTTGCAAAATGTCGTAGTGCTGGAATTAAAGTTTAATTTAGCAATTGTTTTTTAATTTCATAAATTCAGGTTGTTATGGTTACTGGTGATCATCCAATTACTGCAAAAGCGATAGCCAAATCTGTTGGAATTATTTCCCCAGAAACTGAGACTGTTGAGGATATTGCCATCCGTAAAGGAATCCCAGTTACACAAGTTAATCCTAGGTTTTTTGATAAAGCTTAATATGATTCTATTTAAAATTGTTTATTTTAGAGAGGCAAAAGCTATTGTTGTTCATGGATCTGATTTGAGAGAAATGTTTATTTTCATCATTTTTTAAATTAAATTTTAATATTTTATAGGACTGAGGATCAGCTTAACGAGATTATTGCTGAACATTCTGAAATTGTGTTTGCTCGAACATCGCCTCAACAAAAGTTGATGATTGTTGAAGGATTCCAACGTAGCGGGCAGATTGTTGCAGTTACTGGGGATGGTGTTAATGACTCTCCTGCATTGAAAAAAGCAGATATTGGTGTTGCTATGGGTTTGTTTTTATTTTCAGAGATTTTAAAAAAATTAAAATCAGGCATTGCTGGCTCTGATGTTTCAAAACAAGCGGCGGACATGATTCTGTTGGACGATAATTTTGCTGTAATTTTTTTAGATTTTTAAAATATTAAAAAATTTAGTCGATTGTTACTGGCGTTGAGGAAGGACGTTTAATTTTTGATAATTTGAAGAAGTCAATTGCTTATACACTTACTTCAAACATCCCAGAAATTTCTCCATTTCTCGTTCATATTATTCTTGGAATTCCATTACCATTGGGAACAGTTACAATTCTTTGCATTGATTTGGGGACGGATATGGTTATTTTATATTTAGAAAAATAAATTTTTTTAACAAAGGTACCAGCAATTAGCTTGGCTTATGAAGAGTCAGAGTCTGACATAATGAAGCGTCAACCTCGCGATCCTTTCCGAGACAAACTTGTTAATGAACGTTTAATTTCTTTAGCTTATGGTCAAATTGGAATGATCCAGGCATCTGCTGGATTCTTTTCTGTAATTTTAAATTAATCATTAAACATTAAAAAATTAATTTTAAGTACTTTTGGATTATGGCTGACAATGGATTTATGCCTCTTGATTTGTTCCAACTCCGCGCTGAATGGGATTCGCGTGCAATAAATAATGTTTTGGATAGCTATGGACAAGAATGGGTAAAAAATTTAATTTTTTAATATTTAAACAATTTTTATTTTTAGACCTATGCAAACCGAAAAATTTTGGAACATACATGTCAAACTGCCTATTTTGTCTCCATCGTTATTGTCCAATGGGCTGATCTTATAATTTCTAAAACCCGCCGAAATTCAATTGTTCAGCAGGGAATGTCTAATTGGATTTTGAATTTTGGATTAGTTTTTGAGACTGTACTTGCTGCTCTTCTCTGCTACCTTCCTGGAACAGATCAGGGCCTTCGCATGTATGGACTTAGGTGAGTTAGATTATTCCTTCTGTTTAAACGAATTAATGTGGTCATTTAAAGATTTACTTGGTGGTTCCCGGCAATCCCCTTTTCGATACTCATTTTTGTTTACGATGAATTTCGCCGTTATTTGATTCGTCGTTATCCAAAAGGATGGGTTGAGCGTGAAACTTATTATTGATAGTTTGGAGGATAAATAAGGAAAATATATGTTTGTCCTATTGAATTTTGATTTAAAAAATTTTTAGTTAAGAAAACAATGATTTTAGTAGAATTAAATTTCCGTAAAATTTTCTTTTAACATTTTAGGCAATTGATTAAATCCTCTTTTTGTTGTAAAAACAGAGTTGTTATTAAAGTTTAAAGAAAATCTTTAAATATATTGGAAAATATTCCTTTAATGGTCTTTTTAGTTTTTTAAAAAGCAAAATATTTTTCGTTTCTAATTAACTAAATAGTTTATAGCAACTCTGTCTTAAAATCTTTAAAAATACCCTTCTAACAATACATAAATCTTGTGTTTCTCTATAGATTTGCTGACAAATAAAAAGTCTTTTAATTTATCTTTTAAAAAGTCTTAATTTAGCAGATAAAATTGGAAAAACAAAGCAAATAAAAATCATAAAAATTCAAAGAAAGCCTGTGATTTCTGCTATATTTACTCGGAGTATTAATAAATAATAACCAAAAATTGGACTGGACATCTGTTAAAATTTCTTAAGCTTTGTTGGGTTTTTTGCATAAGCTTAAAACATGCAACAAACATTTTAACATTGCCGTTTTCGATTCTGGTTTTTCAATTTAAAAATTTTTCATATTGATTTTTCGACGTATGTGGGAGGGGTGAAGGTTTTTAATAAGGAAGTAAAATCTATTAACACGTCTTCATATATTAAACAATGGAAAATGACTGATTAATTTATTAAATTAAAATTCGAAATAATTTATTTTATATAGACATTAAAATTTTATTTTTAATTAGTTAGAGAAAATGTATTGGATTTATACATTTCTTTTATTTTTTCCCTTAAAACAATCAACTTGTTTGTCTAGTCTTTCATGTTTTGGGAATGAAAAACAAATTACTAATAATATTAGTGATAAACAAATTAATTGTGTTGCCGATTATCTTTTGATTGAAAGAAATCTTCAGACAGAAATTTTTATTGAAAAAGTTGGTAAGGAAGTGAAAGTTATTAGAGGAATTCCAAAAAAATTGGTTAAAAATTTTAAAATTGAAGAAAATGAAATGAAAGAATTTTATGAAGAGGATAATTTTTGTTTTGAAGAAAACAAAGAATTTGTTATTGAAGATGAAAATACTTCAAAAAAAGTTTTAGTTGTTAAATATCTTGTTAAAAATATTAAGAAAAAATATTTAATTTTGTCGGATGAATATCAAGATTTTGGTAAGAATAATTAAATATTTTTAGGAAAAACTTGCTTTGTGGGACCAGAATCTGATTCGGTCGATATACCGTAAAAACTTAAAGTCCCTCCCTTAAATAATTATCCTGCCTATTAATCCCCCTCTAGCGAGAGATTGAAACAATGATTCCCAGGGTAATTATCTTTAGTAAATACGGTACATATCATTCGAAAGTGCGAGGTGGGCATGTCTGCTGGATTTCTCCACAGCGGCAAAATCTGTTTCGCGGAGACTTAATCTAAGGGGTCTTTCCCTTGTCAAAACTTGTTCAATCACGTTAAGTTTGGTGTTATTCGACTCAGTTCTGAGTGTTGTTTCGAATGACATACTATATGGACTAAGTTGGAGTCCGTTACCTATCTTGAATCAAAAATTGTCCTTAATTTTGATATCCGAGAAAATATTTTTCCTAGATCAATTTAATTGTGTTGCCGATTTTCTTTTGCTTTCTAAAAATACCCAAACAAAACCTTTTGGTAAAAAAATCGGCGATGAATGGAAAATTCAACAAGGTATTTTAGAAAGTGTAAAGGATATTAAAATAAATAAAAAAGAAATGGAAAAAATTATGGGGGTTAAATACGCAAATGAATGTTTTAAACTGAATGGATTGGTTAATAAAAACGAGAAAGTTTTGGAAGTTAAAAATATTTTAAATAAAATGGAAAATAAATATTTAATTTTATCAAAAATTTATCAAAAGAAATTGGGTAAATTTTTTAATTAAAAATTAATTTAATGAGGCAAAATTCTGTCATACGTCCCGGAAACCGATTTGGACAAAAGATATGTCATTCGAAAGAGCTCGGCGAGTTGAGTGCTTCGGGACTGACCCATCGAGTGACATATCGTTTGTCCGAATCGGTTTCAGGGACATATGACAGAATTTTTTCTATAATTTTAAAGAAAAACAGTCTTCTTGTTTGGCATTTTTTCTCTTAAAAATATTTGGATTTAACAAAGAATATTTAATTGAATACGAAGCACCAAAGGAGATATCTAACCAGATTGATGCAATATATAATCATCATAAACTTCCAATTAAGGAGCTTAATAAGGTTTATAGATGGGATAATTTACCCGAAGAATTAAGTTATGAGGACGTGAATTTTAAGGAAAATACAAAAGAATATAAAGAATTAAATAAATGCAATGAAATTCTTAACACAAAAACTAAGCAAGAATTTTAATTTTGAAATTATAAAAAAAAATTTGTTTGAATTTTAGAACCAAAAATCTTTTTTCAAAGATATACAGTCATTTCTTTAAAAAGAATTTCTTTTTAAACAAAATTCCAAAAATTGGTGATTGTAAGTAGAAATTAATTGACATTAATTAATTTTTTAAAAATATAGCTGTAAATATAGAGGAAAAAGATGTTGAATGTGTTGTTTGTTCTACAGAATTTGAAATTAGAGAATCTGCACAGAAATTAGAATGCGGGGTTCGTTGAAGTTTTTAAATATTTTTTGTTTAATTTTGTCCTCCTGTTATTTTATTGCCGTTTGTTTAGAAGAGCTTGTCTAACAGGATAAAAGAAAGCATTAGTCGGTGTCCCGATAGCTCAGTGGTAGAGCTCCTGTATATGGGGAGCGAAAGCTCCTAGCCATATTTGTCAGGAGGCCGCAGGTTCAATCCTGCTCAGTGGCTAGGCTTTTGCTAAACTCTTTATTTTGTTATTTTTTAACTGTCTTGACGTCGTTTATTCAATTATTGTCCTAACTAAATTTACTCTAAATTATTTTAGCACAAATTTCATGAATTTTGCATTATAAAATGGTAATAATAATTATTTTGTATTTAAATTAATTTAAATTAAAAAGGTTTTATACAAAAGAAGCGGATGAGATCGGTTCTTTTAAAGTATTTTTATATTAATAACAAAATATTTAAATAATAAATTTAACAGAATACAAAAGCTTGCCCACTTTGTCGAAAACAAATAAGAATTGAAGAAACAAACCCTTAAAAGTAAAGAAAATTTTAAAGTTTTAAAACTTTTAAAATATTTAGAAAGGGATATTAACTTTTGACTCTATTTTAAGGAAAAATGCTTTTCTTATAAGCAAAATTGCAGTTAAGGCATCGAGATCTTACCGAGTCTGAAAATCGCTTGTTTATACATATCTATCTATATATTTATCTAAAATAACCGTTAAAGAATAATTTTAATTAAGTTAAAAATATCTAAATTTACTCAAAAATTTAAAAATTTTTGAAAAATGATTAGATTAAGGGACCGGATCAAGACGAGATCTCGATCAAAAATCCGAGTTTATTGAGATTTATCGAGATCTCGATTCTCGTAGGCCCCTTCCAGTCCGATCTTTAATTAGAATAATATAATAATTTCAGTTTTTAAGGAGAAAGTGATTGAAGTTTGCCTAAAAATGTACATATTTACATAATGTTTTAAAATGTTTATATTTTAAATGGAAGGCCGAAGTTTTTACGTTTTCATCGTTCTAGAATTCGAACAAAGAGATGAAATTAATGTTTTATTTTATATATGTAAACTTGTACTATTTATACATATATTATAAAGTTTTTTTTCAATGTGATAAATTTACTAAACATTTTATATACTAATCCTAACTCTTCTAATTGATAGTCACTTTTTAGGTCCTAGATATAAAATGCCGTATTTTCTCTAAAAGGACTGAATTCCGCTATATTTTTTAATCCCTCACACAAAGGCCATTATTATTGGAAAAACTGAGATTTTTAATTTTAATTAGATTTTTAAAAATCATCCAATAATTCTTACGATTATTGAATGTTATCTTTTTAATGTTTTTAACTTAATTAAAATTTAAAACTATAAGAAAAGCTGTATTTAATTTTTTAATTTTTAAAAGCTAATTTTTTAAAAATCTAATCAACCTGGAAAAAGTTTTTTATAAATAAAATTTTCAGTACTACTTATTTATCAAAACTCCAACGAGTCATTGTTTGGAAGTCAATCTTGAATTAAATAAATCTCTCTATTAATTAACTCAATCATTTCTAAAAAATTACTCTTTTCTTAGACTATCAAATACTATTGGAATTTTTAAAAAATTACAGGATAATTTTGATTTATTTTCCCACATAAACTCAGTAAAAACCTAAACACAGAATTGGTTGTTGAATGGTTGAGCGGTTAATAATCAATGCTTATGATAGCTTCCAGGATACCAACAAATCTTTTGCTATTTTTTAAAATGGATTTGGCCGCTTTTATATATAGTTTTAAATTTTAAAAATGTGAGAAATATTCAAAGATAACACCCAATAATCGCAAGAATGAGTCTACCGAACAATCTTCATTACTTTAATAAAAATTACGCGCATAGTATTGGCATAGATCGGTTTGGATATCGGATATAAAGCTTTTCCGGCGTTGGTTTTGGGTGAAGTATTGGCCTTGAGACTTTATTAAGACTTCATTACACGCCAAAATAGTGAAGAAACTTTTATTTTCACATCACATTTTTTTCCGTTTCCGCTTCCGCGTTCAGAATATTTTAACAAATATTTCCTTTTAAATTAATTGTCTATTAAAATAAATTATCAATCATTAAATCAATAATTAAATTTTAATTCCCCATTCAATCGTCTATATTAGACAGGCCTTTTGTTAAATAGAATAGATGCCCTTAAATATTTAATTAACCAAAATTCAAATTAAATTTTAAAGAAGCTTTCCATTATTTAATTTTTAAATAAAAAAAATGAGATTAAAACATAAAATTATATTATTTTATATTTTA